AGAGAGAGAGAGAGAGAGAGAGAGAGAGAGAGAGAGAGAGAGAGAGAGAGAGAGAGAGAGAGAGAGAGAGAGAGAGAGAGTAGCATGCTGAGGCCAGACGGTTACTGGGGGGCTCCAGGCCATGCACGCACCTCTGGGCTGCACAACCTGGAGGCCAACGGCCATTTCCAGGCCAGGCACGCATTTTGTTCCAAACGTGCCCCTTTTTCAGATTCAGCATTTAATAATTTATTTATTTATTTTCTTCTATTTGTTTTGGCTGGGCTATCTTTGTCTGTTCCGTTGTGTCGTTTCGGACTTTTCTCAGAGTCCAAACAGAGACCTGTGTCTGTCTGTTGGGACCTGAGGACCACGTTTTGGCCGAGGGAGGCCAGGTTCAGGACCTCAGGTTCCTCTTAAGACCCTTCGAGCCCTATTGAACCCCAATTATACCCCATAAACACGAGACATCACCAAATTCAAAAATAAGGCCGGATTTAGGCACATCTCAGTGGGTGCAAAATTGTTCCATTAACCCCCCCCCCCCCCCCCCCCCCCCCCCCTGCAAAAAAAAAAAAAAAGACCCCGCTTTTGGTGTCCCCCAGCTCCCCCCCCATGTATGTTTGCCCAGTCGCCCGCCCGGGCGGCCCAGACCGGGTAATCCTGGTAGCACAGATTATTGCCAATCTAATATTACTTTTATACTGGGCATGATAGCAAAGGCATGATAGCAAATTTCAAGCCGAAGCAATAGACCACAAATGGTAGGTGGTGCGTAGAGTGGGTCATAGCTGGTCTATGTCATCTGTATCAGGCTATCAGCAGTTCACTTTTGTCACTGCAAAGGGCACTTAGCCAAATTTGAAGAATGCATTCAGACAGCGTTACAGCGGTTGTTCGGGTCTTTGAACTCATTGCTGGTTGTTTTGATATCTGATCAGCGACTTTATTGTGTGCCTTGTGCGATCCGACTGTCGTGTATGGTGCGGAAGATTGAAGAACAAGCTGCATGCTATGTTGTCAGCAGCTCTTTTCTTTTCTTTAGTGTTTGCTGGGTATTTTGGTGCCTTCTCTAAAGGTGCTGTTTGTAATGCCTGCGTGGGTGCAAATGCAGCTAGTCAGACTGTTTGGTATTGTGAGCAGAACCCTTCGCTTTGCTCCTGTCCTGGCCCCCCAGGCAAGATAAAGCCCATCCAGAGCTCAAGATTAGCACCGATAGCGTGCCAGCGATAATCCTCCTGTTTGACTATCTTCTCTGGGGCTAATCCAAACTGGACCCCTCCCCCCCACCGCCTCCAAGGGAAAACCCATCTACACCTCCTTTGCTTTGTGAGAGCCTCTCTCTCTCTCTCTCTCTCTCTCTCTCTCTCTCTCTCTCTCTCTCTCTCTCTCTCTCTCTCTCT